TTTATAATATTGAGATTCTTATGTATGAAGTAATATGTGGTATTTTATGAATTTATGAATTAAGCACTTTAAAAATTAATTTACACTTTGTATAAATTTCAATATAGTATCTATTGCATTATATACAAAACGTTTCCCTGGTTGTTTCTATGATCTTGTAGCTATTGAACAGCATTGGGGAGAGAATTGGCACACCACATTCTAACAGGTGTCGCTGAGACTATTCCCCCCCAAGTGCCACCTTCTGTCCCCGACCTTGGAGAAAGGAGGTCCACCACTGCAAGGCAAGCCCCCTTATCCCCACACTGGAGAGACAGTGGGTCAACAGATTGTAGTCAACCCTATCAAATGCCGCCGACAGATCAAGGAGTATCAGCAGCACTGATCTGCCTCAATCCAGGTGTCTTCGAAGGTCACCCACTAAGGCAACCAACACTGTCTCAGTCCCATGGGCAGGGCGAAAACCGGACTGGAAGGGACCCAGGATATTAACATCCTCCAGGAAAGCTTGGGGCTGTGTTGCTACTGCCTTCTCCACTACCTTACCCAGGTAGATTAGACACTGGATGGTAGTTTGTAAGGACCATTGTATAGAAATATTGATTTCTAAAAGTCTCCTGCCTTCTCCTGTGATGTCTTTCTGATAACATGCTGTGCCTTATTTCCTGTTGCAAGCCAAATGGTGAGGCCAGATGGGCTGAACAACTTTATAACTCACATTCTTCACACTTCCATGCTAGAAGCTAGACTGTAAGGCTCCACACTAGGCCTCACATGAGTGTTGTCACGTAGGCAATGAAGAAGCTGTGGAGTTTGGGTCACCTGACTGCAGGAGGGGCTCCAAACTTCTAGCCATTCCTGTGGTGCAGGTATGGCAACCAACAATTGGGCACACCCATGCCCACTCGCTATCTGCTGATGGCCACAGCTAATTTGTGACTGGAATTGGGCTATAATTGTTTTGATCCCTATGGGAGTGAGCTCTCTCTTAGCTCTCCCTTCCTCCTCTTGTCATCATCTGTTTTATGGCACCTGAAAGGCTGCCTTTTGAGAGACGAAGAGTTGCTTTGTGACTTGGAACACATGGCTGTGCAATAATGGGATTTCCCTTCAAAATCCCTTGGTACTGGGACTATCTTGGACTGATGAATGCTCCTGACGTGGTAACTATGAATCATTAATGTTTAGTTAAGGCAAACAGCCCTAGCCTTTGTTATTTCTGTAATCTCTGGTAGTCTATGCTAAGATCTGTACTGAATAAAGATCCAACTTATTGCTAATATGTCTTTGATGTTGTAACTGAATTCCAAGTCTAAGCCTGGTGCCTAAACGCTTACCACCTATGCTACCTTGGTAAGAATGTGCATCTCTAGATAGAGTTGCTATTCTGTTAAATCCCAGATGCTAACCAAGGGTTGGAATCTCTCCCTTAGGAAAGGCAGGGATTAGTGAAAAGAGGTTCTGGTGGCACACTGTTCTGAAAACCTGAGAGGGTATAGCCTACCTCTGGGTTTGTTGTTTAATGTACTGAAAAGTACAGGATTCCCTCTTATTCCTGGACTGGCATGAGTGGGCTAATCCCTGTACAACCATAGGGTCCAAGGAAGGTTTTTTTTTAGGAGGGGGCGAACTACAGCCTCCTTTAATCCCTTTGGGAAGGTTCCCGTTGATAGGGACAGATTGATAATCTCCCTCAGAGGAGTCTGCACCTCATTGCCACAGACTTTCACCAGCCACGATGGGCAAGGGTCAAGGAGGCATGCTGTGTGGGCTTCACAGCCGCTAGGGTCCTGTCAACTTCTTCCTGGGAGAGCAGACTGAAATGGTCCAACATGGGACCAGAAGACGACCAGGGGGCTTCCAGTTCCCTTGTTGTATCAAGTGTGGCTGGAAGATCACAGTGGAGTGACAAGACTTTATCTGCAAAATGACTTGCAAATGCCTCACAGCCATGCCAATTCTCTAGCATTTCGAATGCCCTGAGGCAATGCAGTTAGACACCGAATTATTCTAAATAATTGGGCCAGGCGCGAGGTTGCAGACGCAATGGAGGTCGTATAGAAACTCTCCTTTGCGGTCTTCACTGCCATCTCATAGGTCTTCACAAATGACCTGATGGATGTTCTCGCTGCTTTGTCGCGGGCTTGTCGCCACTTTCTCTCCAGCCGTCTTAGCTTCCACTTCATCCGCCTTAGCTCTAGGGAATACCATGGTGCCAGTTTGGTATGAGGGGAGTGACCTTGTCGATAGCTTTGGAAAGACAGACCTGTCAGTCTTCCACTAGCTCATCCAATGAACCAACGGGGGGAATCCGATCACGCAGAGCTTCCTGGAACCTACCTGGGTTCATTAGACTCCACAGACATAAATTTGCTCGCTGTCTAAACAGAGAGGGTTAGGCATACCCAGCTGGGCTTTCAGGGCAAGGTAGTCCAACCATGCTACTGCATCAGCAGTAATTTGGTCCACCGTGATCCCCGAGGCAAAGATAAGATACTGTGTGTGGCCTGCTTGGTGTGTGGGAGCCGAAACAAACTGGGAGAGTCCCAGTGCCGCCATGGACGACACTAGGTCCCTGGTCTGAGAGGAGGTCACATTGTCTGCATGGACACTGAAGTCCCCCAGAACCAGTACCCAGGGTACTCCAACACTCAGCCCAATACAGCCTCCAACAGGCCCAGCAGGGCATTTGCCAGTGCGTTAGGCGGATGGTACACCAGCCAAATGGCCAAACTCTCCTCAGTCTCCCACAACAGACCCACACATTCAATGCCAGCAACCTTTGTCTCTGGGAGAGCCCTAAAAGAGAAAGCCTCCCGGATGAGTAATGCCATTCCCCACCCACCCATCAGTCCGGCATTGGTGAAGGACCGAGAACCGGGGCGGGGGAAACCCGGGGGGGGGGGGGGCAGTTGACTCAAGGTGACGGTTTTGCCCTCCCTCACCCAGATTTCAGCCACACATGCCAGGTCTACTGCCTGCTCCACCAGATAATTCTGGAGAATGGAGAATTTATTATTGATAGACCTGGCATTGCACAACACCAATGTCAGAGAAGGGTAATCTTTCCTATTCCCACAGCCGGCATTTCTCGAGATGGGACAAAAGTTGGAAGGGGTCTGAGCAGAACCATATTTCCAACTCCTTCCCTTTAGTCTCCTAGTCCCACCGCCACATCTCCCTCGCCCCATCAACACTGGGATCCCCGACCCCAATGTGGCCTCTTCCATCAGGTCTTATTGGGTCAGAGCCTAACCCCACTAACATATGGAGGCAAGCTTGATAAGACATCAAACCCACCGAAGCCTACACATTACTCTCTAGTCTTAAGAAGGAGAAGAAGAGATTGGATGTATACCCCGCCCTTCACTACCCAAAGGCGTCTCAGAGTGGCTTACAAACTCCTTTCCCTTCCCCTCCCCACAACAGACATCCTGTGAGGTAGGTGGGGCTGAGAGAGCTCTGACAGGAACTGCTCTTCTTCAAGAACAGCTCTGACAGAACTATGGCTTGCCCAATGTCATCCAGCAGCTGCAAGTAGAGAAGTGGGGAATCAAAACCAGTTCTCCCAAATTACAGTCCGCGCTCTTAACCACTACACCAAACTGGCTCTTCTCCCAACCCACCCACCTATGTACAGTTGTAAAGATCTTAACTGAGGTCTACTGCAGTGGTCATATTTCACCTCTACTGTAGCAACTGCACAAGATGCTTACCTTTCTCTGGGCCCAATTCAAAGGTCAATTAAATTGACCTTTAAATCCGAAACCTCCTTTTAGACAACAGTGCCTGCAGGGCTTGCCTCCACCTTGGCAAACCTGCCCGTGCCCTCAGATCACCTGCTGCTCACAGCCCCCCCCCCGCCCCCCTAAACTGAACCCGGTTGTACCTTGGCAGCGATGGAAGCCGGGGACATGCGTGGCCTCGACCCTTCCTCCAAGCTGACGCCCGGATACACCAGGGTGGCAGAGCCCATCTCTGCCTCCCGGAGATGCTCGACGCGGTCTTTCCTTCGCTGCAGAGTATTTGCCACTGGCTGCTCATAGAGGGTGGCTTTAGACCAATCCTGCAAAACCCAAGAGGAGCTCGATATAAGGGTACCGCTGAGGCCCCAGAGGGACACCCAGTACAGGCAAATAACAGCGAGTATGGAAAAGGGCAGAGATGGGAGATGCAACTGGAAGGAAGGAGATGGGGGGGGGTGGCAAAATGGCAGAAGGAGCAGAAGGTCAGGGCGACTGATCACAAAATGGCCTGAAACCATTTTGCTTTGTTGGGCTGGATACTAACGAGTGTCTTGATTTGCCTCCTGTCCCCCCCCCCAAAAAAAAATCCTTCACATACCCAGAAAGAAGAAGAGGAGATTGGATTTATACCCTGCCCTTCACTACCCAGGGGAAACTCCTTTTCCTTCCCCTCCCCACAACAGACACCCTGTGAGGTAGGTGGGGCTGAGAGAGCTCTGACAGAAACTGCTCTTTTTTCCGAGAACAGCTGTGCCAGAACTAGGGTTGCCCAAGGTGCAAGTGGAGGAGTAGGGAATCAAACCCGGTTCTCCCAGTTTAGAGTCCGCGAACGTAACCACTACACCAAACTGGGGATGGCCAAGGGCTACTAGGCAGTGCTTTGAAAAACCTATGGGCGACCTCACCAAATGCCCAAAGCAGCTGTCAATCAGGTCCAGTCTTCCCCTAACAGTCTGTGCCCTTCCCGTACTGGCACAGAAGGCTCCACCTCAGGCTGTCCTGCAAAAATGCCCATTTCTTTGTTCTGCAATCTAATCATTTGGTTCGTTTGTGCAAAGCAGAGCAATAGAGACTGTCATCTTGACTAACGCCAACCTGGGAAACGTGTTCCAAGCCTCTCTCATGAGCCTCACTGCTAAATGGCACTGCTGCGGTTGGGCAGAGGGATCCTACGCAATGAGGCTCCGGGCTTCCAGATGGCTCAACTACTACTGTGGCCTTGGGTAGCAGCAAGTGGGCGAGTGTGACTTTCAGTGGTAAGGAAGGGGGATCCTGCCCCTACTTAGAGAAAACGGAACTAGCGCTAGAGATCATGGGGAAGGGCAGGGGCCTTAGTGGTGGAGATGCATCCCATTGCCTGTCTCAATGTCTAGCAGAATATGCCTGTACGTCTCTATGCTGAGGACTAGAAACCTTACTCTTTTTTTCCAAAACATAAGTGACAAGGAAAAAAATTCTCAGGATATTGCTCAATCTGCCGCATTCTGGCTTACGCTCCATGACTTGGGAGCAGCACTGTGGCCTTGCAAATCCCTAGCTATGAGAGTTCCCCTCAGGGCTGGTCTCACCATCCAAATCATCCCACAGAGGCACCTTGCTGATGGAGGGGACGTTCTTCCCTCAGCACCAGCCAGGAGTAGGTCCTCAGCAACAGCAAGGACAAGAGGAAGCACTCAGGACCGGCTGGTGCAAAAAGGGGCCCAGGCAACAGTCCCAAAGTCCCCCGGCTGCAGACACATGGTACCAGTGCCCAAGTTCGGCACAAGATGTGGAGGGAAAAGGGTGAGCCAGAGGTCCCTTGCAGAGTGTGGCTATTGGCAGCTGAATACTAGAGTCATGCTGAGAGAAGACGTGGCCACGGGCAGGAGCTCCAGGATTTAATGTGGCATTTTCAAAGGTAGAAGTAATTCAGTCGCAACGTCTGGTTTACAAATAACTGAACAAACCCTGCACTTTACCTCACCTCTTTCCCAGCATGCTTCTCTCTAGAGATTAATTTCTAAAAGTGCCAGGGCACAGGGCGAAGGCTGCCTAAAATTGACCCTGGGAAGCCCTTCTCCTCTACTGACGCAGACCTGAGGGAAAGGCACTCTGCAGATGCACAAAGGAATCCTTGCTGTTCTAGAGCTGAACCATCACACTGGGGGGGGGGACGGACTCCAGAGCATGGCCTAAAGGCATGGGGGCTGAGAACCGCCAGTCTCTGGCTCAAATAATGGTACAGCATTACAGTTTTTCTTGAAACCAGAGCCACAGAAATTTCCGAGGCACCCTCCCAAGTCTAAGCAGTAGCCTTCTTGGCAAGGGGGGGAGAGACATGGACTCTGCTCTGGGTACAACAAAGAGATCTGGCAAGCAGCCTAGAAAAGAGGCTCCTGCACATGAATGGCCCCTGAGGAATGGCTCTCCAGGGCTGGCTATCCTTACCTGCTTACACTGAGCATGGCCAGCAGGGACGCCACCACCCTTCTCTCTCCCGGGTGAAGGGGAATCCTCCAGCCTTACTGAGCTTGTGGGCACTTCTCTAATTCTGAGAACACACAGGGGGCACCACAACAAAATGGCTGCCATGGGGCGGGCGGGACTGATCTCATGAAGGCTGCCACAGGGGCCTAAAGCCCAGTCACAAAACACTGGGTGGTTCAGGAGCTTCCGAGCCAAGCAGCCCCTGACAGCAGAGGCGGCCGTTTCTGAGGGAGTGCTCCTGCCAGACAAAAAGGGGAGGCCTTCTGATGCCAAGCTTGGTTCTTTGCCTTGGATAGACGGAAGGCGAGCTGGAGAGGCTCTGGGGCAAAGCCCGCGGGAGCTGAGAAAGGCGGCAAGCAGCTACCGCTCTGGCCTTGGAGGGGGACGGCTTGCAAGCCCCTGGCCAGGGTCTGGGAGCGGGCCCATGTAAAATACACACCAGGCTGAGGCTTCGTCGGGAGCTTCCTTCAGTCCTGGCCCCAAGAGCTACATTCAGCGGTTTCCACTGAAACACAGTAAGAAACCACGGTGAAGCGAACCTGCAACCCAAAGCCATCCGTCTGCACACTGAATCAACCTGCATGGGGGATGGGGGAAGGGGGCAGCACGGTGGGCAGAGCTGCAGAAGAAGCCAGAATCACACCCCATCAACCAGCCAGTTAAGGTGATTTTTAAAAAACAAGCACAAAGCACAAAGCCAGCCAACAAGAGGTGGGAGCAGATCAGGAGTGAAAATGGAGGAGGAAGAGGAAGTTGATGTTGGTTTGCTTCCCGAGGGATCCACGTCATGCTAAAGGCCAGTGGAGCATCAGCGGCTGGAAAGGGTGTCCCAGCGTCCTGGGCATGAGGCAGAGGGTGAAAGAGGAACGGGACGGCCAGTTCAAGCTTCATCTCTTCCCCACCTGACCACACACCCCCTCCCTGCAGTTGTGCTAGCACTAACCGAGGTCGGGGAGTTGCATTCACTAACAGACTGGCAGGTCTCTGAGGCCTCGGACGAAGCGGAGCTGGAAGACTTCTGCCATGCCCAAAGTCCGATCAGCAGGAGCAAATGCAGAGAAGGAAAAGAAAAGAGACTCGGTTATGCAGTTGTGGGCAACAAGCAGCAGGCAGAGAGACAGGGAGAGAGAGAGAGCGGAATCCCACTCAAGCACGGGGCAGCTGGTCTGCACACTCCCGCAGCGACTGGTGGGCAGTACAAATGCCAGTGGACCTATACATGCATTTCCACACCCCCTGGCAGGAGGGGGGGGGGAACACTCAGACAGGACCTTGGGCAGGAGGAAACGGAGCTACGGAGGCTCGGTGGCCAAGACCCCCTTCAGTGGAAAACCAACACGGGTGACGCAGGTGTGGCAGACCCACCGCACGTCGCTCCTTCGCATGCACAAGCCAACATCCAGACTCCCTCTGCCCTCCCTAACCAGCCACCATTCCAGCCAATGCCTAAATAAGGTATTTTAAACCGCTTCACTTATTGAGTGTTTACACAGATTTTTCATAAGCTGAAAACGGCAGACACCGGTCGAAGCAACTGCGCTTCTCCTGCACAAGTCTGAAATAAGTAAGTAGGGAAAAGCCCGTTTGCTTTCTGTGTTGGGGGCGAAGTGGGGAGTTAGAAGTCTCGAGAGAGACGGCTGTCAGCCGGGAGTCTGTGCTTGGAGCATTCCAGAAAACTCTAGATTCTGCAACCAGACAAGGAGGGGGCCCTGAGCAGCTCCAAACCAACCTCACTCAGGGTGAGCAGGAGAAGCGCCTGCTGTTGGATGCCCCCTCATGTCCACCATCCTCCATGCAAGGTGTTTGTGAGAAGGGTCACATTCTTCCTAGATATGATGGGGCAACCATATGCCTCTACCCAATTCACATCACGAGGGCAGTGGCTAGAAAGGTTCTCTAATGGCTGCCCCCACTCTGGTAGGGGTCTCCTCGGGAGGGCCCAGAGCACCCACCCTACCCCTTTATACACTCCTTTCCCAGCAAATTCTTCCTTATAAGTGACTGAATGAGGTGTGAGGACCCAGGCAGAGTAACAAATTATTTTTATTAAAGAGATTTAACAACAACTGTAATTCTTTATACCCCGCCCTTCACTTGGAGTCTCAGAGCGGCTTACAAACTCCTTTCTCTTCCCCTCCCCACAACAGACATCCTGGGAGGTAGGTGGAGCTGAGATAGCTCTGACACAAACTGCTCTTTTTCAAGGACAGCTGTGCCAGAGCTTGTGACTGACCCAAGGTCACATCAGCAGGTGCAAGTGGAGGAGTGGGGAATCAAACCCGGTTCCCCCAGATTAGAGTCCACACACTTAACCACTACACCAAACTGGCTCTAAGAAACCCTAGCGCCTCTGACTCTACCGTCCCCAGCCTTCTCTCGGTCTTTGGCTCAAGCTAACTCACCCTCTTTGGACTCCAAAACCGCTGATTTCAGGAGGGGTGTTGAAAGATCTGAGTCAGATTGAGGTGACGAGAGAGGAGGTCCTAAAACTGAT